TCCTGAGCTCAGCAGGGCAAAAGGAGGCATTCTGCTTTCGGCGACATAACGTACATACAAGCACGCTGGGGCAGCCAGGTGCCCGTGCCGCAGTGCTGCGAAGCATTTTCCGTAGCGACACGCTTTGGGCGGCCCGTTGCGGCAGAGCAGGATGTGTGGTGCTTGCCAGCGGGGGTACCTGCTCTCTGGTTCCGGCCGCGCAGTCTTTGCCCTTGCTGAGCGCAAACCACCCAGCCTGATGCCGGTGTCCCTCCCTGTCCCTTGCTGCTGCTGGTCGGCGTGTGGCCGGAGAGGAGGGGAGGATGGTGCCTGTGCAGGCAGGGGAGCCGTGCCCGGGCAGTTGGGAAAATGCTGCTTGTTTCCTTACCACGCTAACGGCCGAAGCAGGGCAAAGGTGGAAGCAGGGGGAACGCGTACAGGGAAGTGGCTACCATGAGGCTGAGTTGTCGGTTCTCATCACGGGACATGGCCCGTGTCAAAGTTATCGGCGCTCCTTGATCTGGACCAGCCGTAGGCGGAGAGGCTGCAGGTTGGGTCAGGGAGGAGGCGACCATGCTGCTGTGATTCAGGCGACAGGCCGAAGCCACTCCTGCGGCCAACGCTCTTTGTGTGTACCTGGAGAGAGGCTCTGCCCCAGGAAGTCTGTCATCTCTGGCCAATTCCTGAAGTGTTTGGATCTTGTCTTTGAACAGAAGCTTAAGCTCGGGTACGGTCGGATCCTTCCCTCCTTTCTCTGCCGCTTGCAGTCGGGGTCCTGCTGAGGGGGTGCAGGCTGGCGGCTGTAGGCTGGGAAAGGAGGATGAGTGTTGCCGAGAGCAGGCCAACACTTTCCCTTATGGATTAGGGGATGAAATGCACAGCGGTGGGTGCATGTAGGTTGTGTTGGCAGCCGAGTCCTGCGGAGGTTATACAAAAGGGATCTGGGAATCCCAGGCTACGGGGTGCCTGGGCATGGTGTCCGTGTGTGGTGAGGACAGCAGGGTGGTGCAGAGGTGATGGGCAGTCACCTGGGCGAGCGCAACGGGCAGGAGCTCGCTCGAGGAGGGTGGTGCGTGGAATCGGGGGCTGTCAGCAGTGCTTGGGGAGGGTTCTGCTGGGTGCAGTAACTGTAATAAAGTGATGGTTTGTCATGTTGGGCCTCGGTGAGTGAGCTGGGGTGCTCGCTGCCCAGCGCTGGATGCAGGGAGGCGTTGGGGCCCTGGTCTGTGCCCTCTAGCTGGCCCTGCGCCCTCTGCCACACTGCTCCTCAGTCTGAGCAACTGCTCTGGCTTCACCTCGCGCCCCCGGGTCGTCTCGTCCATGGCAGATGGTGCAGAAGAGCCCTGACATGACATTCACTACCTGGAGAGCGGTGAATTCTCTTGGTCAGTGTTACAGACAAGGGCTTGGGCATCTTTTGGGGAGACGTGTTCAGAGGTAGCTGAGGGGAAATGCAGTGCCCTGAAAATACCCAGGAGACGGGGTTAGGTAATTTAACCTTCCCCAGGTGTTGAGCACTTCCTCAGGAGCACACCCGCCATCAGTTACCGGGGTTTATGGGGAATCAACGGGAGATCACCAGGGATGCCTGACTGCTATTCAAACCCATGTTGCTGTGTCCCGTTTGGATGGAGCTCCAGCTCTTGCTGCAAGGTAACAGAGAGCTGGGAAACAGGTTCTGCGTATTGTGGCTCACACCCTGGAACTGTGTCACAATACAAAGGCTCCAAAGCCTCTGAACATGTCTGCAGGGAGCGGGGATGCTTGGGATGAGTCTTCCCTTAAGAGAGGGAAACAGGATGGATAATGGAAAACTGGATCTTCAGCTTTCTTGTCAGCACATCCCCTGCTAACACAAGTGACTCTGACAGCTGTGGCAGAGGATAAGGTAAGCTTTCTAGCTAACAGCAGTAGCTCACGATGGCAGTTGTAGGGATGCAGCTACAGTATAAATAAGGGAAAATACGTGCAGCTCTAGAAAAGCATCTTCAGCACAGGGTTGGTGGGGAAGGCCACCCACCTGGGAAAGTGCACGGCCCATGCTTGGTCACATGGGGAAGCTGAAGATCGTTGTCTAGAGAGCTACTCTGTGAGCACGCCAGACACTGCCTGTAGGGCTGGCTCCCCTGGAAAGGGGTCTCTTCCTGTCCTTGGCTGGGGTAGAGCTCTTGCCAGGAGAGGAACAGCCCAGCCTTTTTTGTGGGTCTTTCCTCAGCTGAAATTCACAGGCTGCGAATAAGCTGAGCCAGATCTGGGTTAGTATCTGCTTTAGGTCATCCCTTCTCCATTACCCGCAAAGCTTGGACTTGAGAGGCTGACAGCAGCCCATACATCTCCCCTGATCCAGCAGCTGCGGGATCAGCGTGGGGAACAAGCAGAGTACTAATTCCTGGAGACTTAAACTGGCTTCTGTACGATGAGGAACAGAGGGAGAGTAGGGCTAGTAATGGTGTAGATGCCCCGTCAGGCAGAAAAAGTTCTCGACCCCCAGAAATGAGATAATTTGACCATAACTGCATTGTAACCCTTTTGCCCCTGACCCCTTCCACCAGCATGACGTGACGGCTGAGGAGGTGCGATACGCAGCGCTCTTGGCTGAGACCTGGAGCCTGTCTGGGATTTCACCGAACACCAGAAAAGACAGCCTGAGCATTAGAGGAGACTTGACGCTGTAATTCAGTAGGGTTTATTCTACAAATCTTAGATCAATGGCAATGATACAAGTTTTATGAATTCTCATTAAAAATACAAGTCAGTATAAAGATTCCAATAGCAATATAATGCATGACGATTCCATTTCCAAACTTAAGGAATGAGTCTGGGTTTTGGACCATGCTACAGAAAAGGGGAACACAATGTAGAAAGAACATTTAGTTTACCTCCCTTGCTCTGGGAGGGGCCTGTGCCTTATTGCCACAATACCTGAAAAAGCAACGTGAAGTGCATAGCAGCCTTGCCTCTGCCTTCTAGGCAAAACCGTTGAATTTAGTATCGCAGTCCACCCCCCTCTCCCAATTCTGTAAATTAAGGTACGTTTTGATAGCCTGGTCTCGTTATAAAATTTAAAGCTATTGCAACACTCCCCCCTCCCAATAATTAATGTTTATAAACCCAGTCCCTTGAACAGCAAAACGCTCCTGTGATGCACTGAAACTTTTGCACCGTGCTAAGCCTTTTGCCCAATGTTTCCAGGAACGTGAAATACTGATTCAAACCAAAGGCGAGTTAGTTCCCTGTTAAGAACCCTCCTGTCCCCAATTTTTTAGAATGAAGTCTCTGCGCGGTCTAATACTCCAACGGGTTGCTTGTAGCCTCAGGCACAGTTATGTTCTAACTCCAGCCTTCCTTAAACCCGGCCCTCGGGTACGACGGAAGGCGTTACAGCTTTGGCTACGCAGAACTGTGAGATCGAATGCTTCAGAGTGGGGGAAAACAAAACTACCCTTTTTTTCTGGGAGCTGCCTGCACTCACAAGAGGTTAAGGCTTGGTAAAGCCAAACCCTAAGCCTAACTTTTAGAGAAACAGTTTACTTATCACAAGAGGTAACTCCTGACAGGATGTGCACCTCATCCCTGACATGCTGTCCATACGGCCGCTCATTCCTAGCGACATTTTCACCCTGTCAAACATAACGGGCATCCCTCTGCTGAGCCGTCACTTCTTGTAGCAGAACCACATAAATATCACAGAGCAGGTATCATGCATCTGTCTGCAAAAGCAGACAGGGAAACAGCTTAACAATATGCACACGCTTCCAAACAGTGTTGGTGCAGACAGTGACATGTAACTGAAACTCAGCTTTTCCCAAAATATCAGCACAATACAAAAATCCAGAAACACGGGGTAAAAAGAAGCTGCTGCCTTCCACGCACCAGTTAAAGAAAACCCCTCTTGCATAAATGGAGCAGCAGGACAGGACAAGCACAGGCTTGGCTATACAAATACACCTGTTCTCCCGTAGAAATCTGCAAGAGCTCTCCGCCCGGCATCCCCCTGGCGTGTTTTAGCATCGTACCAGCGGTGGCAAATCCTAGCACTGCGCCATCACGCAGGCTCACGGGAACTTCTTCTGCCGTGCCGCGCGCCGCGGCGCTTGCCGCGGACACGTATCGTCCCTCCGCTCTGTCTTTGTCATAAATGCATCTTGGACTCTCAGCAGTCACGTTGAGTCAGAAGTACAAGAGCTCAGTCGCCCACGCTGGGCTTTGGTACGGTCAAGGTGACCAAACAGAAGGATGTCAGTAAACTGCATATATTAGAGAAAACGGGTTTGCTTTGCATTTAAGTCACATTTAATACAAGACAAGTTGGTCTGAAACTGCGAACTGATTCTATTTAGAACAAAGTATGGTGCAGATTCCCAGTATCTATGGATGTTGGGGAAACAACACGTTTTCCTCTTTGCAATGATTATCAATTCGCCAAAAATAGTGTAACAGTCAAAAGGGAAGAGTGAAGGAAAACAGATTTAGAAGAAGAAATAAAAAATGTCTAACAATTGAAAATAAATGACTTCTTTTGTAAGAAACTTTATTTAATTTCATTTTTAAAAATTCATTCTCTCCTCCAGAACAAATGCCACCTTAAAGAAAAAATTGCAGTAGCACACACTTGCACTCAAAGGAAAACATGCAAAACGGATGGCTGAAAAAATTCTGCATAAAAATCCAGGACTTCAGGCAAAAGTTTGCCCCCATGTGCCTTTAGGGACCCCAGACCATAAACAGCTTTCAGTGCAATGTCTCTTGCTTCCAACTGCTTTCAGTGCAATGTCTCTTGCTTCCTTGCTTCCAACTGGGGGGAAGCATATGGCCGAAGCTTGTCTTCACACAGCTACGCTCTCCCAGGTCTCCGAAGCAAAACCAGTCTCAGCTATGTCTTAAAATACCATCGTTAAACTGCTGCAGAGTACAACCATAACTCAGTAAAATGCCAGGATCCAGTGAAGAAAAACTTCTGCGTCCTACCCTGTGCCATACGCTTCTTAAAAAAAGAAAAATTAGACAGAAAAACAGATTTCATTAATACACCCTCTTTAAATTTTTTTATTTCTGAAAGCAGCTCTTAATGCAAATCAAAAGCAGTTCCTGAGTAACTGCAGTAAACAGTGTCTTTTAAATATTTTTGCGCCTCAGCTCTTCTGTTTTGGTTCTTCCTTGGTTTTCTCCCTCGTTTTCAAGTTTAATCTCAGTTCTTTTCAAAAATGTGCAAGTTCAGTTAGCATTGTTTCCAGAAGTCCACAGCGTACAGGTCTTCCTGCAGCAACTCTAAGATCCGCACATACGCTAGGTTGTACTCCTATCCCTATGGCAGGTTTTGCTCCCAAACCTGTACCGCGTGCCTTCTCACGTCTTCTTCAGCATACGCCGGGACTGCCACGTATGGAACTTATTGTAGGCTGTCTGCAGCATCTCTTCTATATGACTTATCAACTGAAACATTAAGAGGGAGAAAAAATGTCCCAGCTACTGGAAAACAGATCCCCTCCCCTCCCTTTGTCAGCTACTCAGGTGGATTCTTCCTTTTATTCACCAAGAGTCATCTCCCTAAAATCGGAGGTGTGCTAGTAAAGGGAGGACCTTGAGGCTCTACTACAAAGTCCCCATGGAGGGAGCGGTTAAGGGAGCTACTGAGCCGAGGAGGTCACAGAGAGGTGACACTGGACTGCGCTGTCCCGGTGTCCAGCCTGTGACCACCTCAAGTCTGACAGGGTGGCAGACAGTTTCTACTTCCCGTTGGAAGTGAAAACGAAATGTGAATTCCCATTTTTGTTGTCTTACTTGGGTAATTTCAAATTACGGTTCCTGGAAGTTTCTGGTATTACTCAGCAAGTCATGCAGGGAGAGAAGACGTGCTTAACTCTGCGCCCCACTTCCCTCTGCCCGCTTCCTGGTCAACAAAAAATTCAAAATGCCCTAGGATAAGTAACACCACTACCATCCTCTGATAATTACTGTTCAGCTCATTAATATGCACCACTGTAATGAAAAAGCATTTTCTCCTTACGTTTGTGCTTAAATACTGTCTCCGAATCTTTTCTTGGAATGGGCAGAGCTTTGTAACCTGAAATCTTTCCAAGTTGCTCCTCATTTTGACAACCTGTGGGAGACAGAAACCAGTATTATAGCCACTCGCACCCAAGTTTCATTTCCTTTAACAAACTGTTCTCCAACAAAACATCTTGTAACTAAGTCTGGGGGCTCTTTCTACCTACCTATAGTTTGAGGAGGAAAACCACCAGTCTGTAACAATTCCTGAGCACGTATTTATTTCTGAGGCAAGGGCAAAAGGGCTGAAAGTGCACTGTGCCACTTTTACTTTGTCAGTAAATACTTATGTAGTTATTCACAAAAGCATCTTCTTTCGCTTCAAGCAAAGGCCGTACCATGGATTTTCAGGCCACAGTTTGCAGCAGAAAATCAAAAATATCTAAATGCAAATTTTTATCTTTGTGATCCATGTGAGGTCGAAAGAACAGCAACAGAAAAACGGTTCCAGTCATATACCTGGCTGTAGACAGACACATCTGGAGGGCAACGTTCTTCTCAAAGGCGGTGTGTGTTTTCAAGCTGTGACTGTGTCGTTTTGCAGTGGGTAGAAGAATTACGCCACTGCAGAGGTGATGTCCAAGAGCTGGGGAATGGGGGGGCTTCAGTTTGTGTGTGTTAAACTGGCAGTGAGACATCAGCAGCTGGAGGAGAGCTGACCGTTCTGTCTGAAACTAGCCTACAGCAACCCCTCCCCAAGGGTGCTCACGGGCACGCAGGGACAAGAATGATTTTAACCAATAGCACCAGCAGAATTGCTCAAAAGTTCATGTTTTACACTGTTTTGCAACCTTCAGTTCTAGGGATGAGTAAGTGCTGCACTGATTTAAAGCACGTGTACTAGTTCTACACTTCCAAGTTAAGGACAGTCATTCTAACCCACAGTCTGGCCACACCATAACCAGGGCCACACCAGGAAGCTCCACCTTACCTTTTCTTCTAGGAATGGCGTGTTAACAGGAAAGCAGGACCAGAAGTGTCGTAGCAGTTCCCCTACTGCCACGTACAAGTGTTTTAGTTCAGACTGGATGTCATTTGGCACCATCTCTGCAACAGGAAAAAAAGAGTTGGTCACATCACTCCAAGCTGTCATCTGAAAAATGAGAACGTAAGGCTAACGAAGGCGTTCAGCAATGTACGTTTCTACCAGAGTCACAGAGATTGGCTGGCGGGGTGCACGGAGGTGCCTTGCACCTCGAGTAGGACTCTCAGCAGTACCAGATCAGGTCAGCTGCTATTTATGGGGATACACTGGGGAGCGTGTATGTTAAACAGGCAAAGAATGGACACCAAACTTCGTGCAGGACTAGAGGCAGTGTATCTGTATTGCCCTAGCACTGCTGCTTCTGGGACCAGCACCTTGTTCTCTTCACAGCACTAAATGCTGCGTGGCAGGTACCGCAAGCTTTTCCCTCTCTTACGCTGACAATATGATCACAGCATGTGGAAGATGGAAAATCTAGGCAGGAACAAGGAACTGTATCCCAGATACTATTAGAACAGAAAGGGTGACAGTTCAAGAACAGGGAAGGAACCACCATCATAAAAACCAAAGACACAAAGCACAAACAGTCACTGAGGATGACAGGAGCATGATGAACTGAACAGTGAATTGCAAACTCCAGGACAAGGCTGGTTTGTTTGTTTGGGTTGGTTTTTTTTTTGTTTTTTTTTTTTTTTTTTTTTTTTTGTTTTTTGTTTTTTTTTTTTAAAAAGTGATGGTCTGGCTCAAAGCAGTGGAGTGTAGCACCCAGTATGTCATCTGGGCTGGGCAGGAAGCCTCACTCCTGCTCCCTGACTCTTCTTTCAGTACCATAAAGAACTCGTACTTGGCTTTTTCAGCTGCTTGAATTAGGTTCTGCTGCTCTTCAGACCAAGCAGTGCAGGTTAAACTGGAAAACTGTTCCAAACGCTGCATTGTGAGAATAGGGATTCATCTGCTGTGAGACTAAAGAGAAAGGAAAACTGGCAGGAACGTGACAACAGGGAAAGGGGTGGTTGAATGGAGAGGTGAGAAGGAAGGGATTGTCTGTTTTGCCCTTGTAGTCCACAAGAAAGCTGTCCCTTTTCACAGCAAGCTGTGGACCTTAAATGCAGGCTGCAAAAAACCTAGTTCCAGACAATTACTGCTTTTGTTTTGCCGCTGTAACCCAGTACTGCTCCAGCTACATGTTTCCATAATTTCCTTTACCACTGTTATATTCTACGAGGGAGATGAAACAGCAAGCCAAGTACTGCTGTATAATGCAGTAAGATACGGTTAAAGTATTATACATCCTAAATCCTTACGGTTTATGGCTTGCTGTGTTCCACCCTGCATAAGTGCTCCTCCAGGTGACAGGACTGCAATAGTGCTAGCAGCATCACCACTTGAAAGAACCTGAAGGGAGAGAGGGAACAATTATCTCTGATCGCTTTTTTCCAACAAAATCTAAGTAAGCTGTATTTGAACTCCAGTGGCAAAGATCCAGTTGTGCAATACAGTGGCAGTTCTGATGAAGAGCCTGCTCTTCTCCAGAATTAGACACTGTGCCTTTAAGTGCTACAGCTCATGTTTTCAGTGAAAGCCCTCCAATTAATTACAGACAAACCAAGCCTTTCTTTACCTAGTATGCGAACCGGCTTTGAAATGAGACAGAGCATTGCTCTACGGAAATGTGACATTCACAGCTGTGGCTGCCATACTTTGGGCCAAATCTAGGTTTACTAACAGGGGAAGCTCAAATACTGTCTGGGGAGACTGGCTACATGATGCTGCTGCCCTCCAGCTGCCAGGACAGCGCTTCCATGCAGCCCACAGTGACAGCGAAACCCTAACTACATAAGTGCATTTAGGAGTGCAAGACCTGTTCACTTCTGAACCTGCTTATTATGACCTCCTAAAATCATTACATCCTAAATTTCAGGGAGTGGGATCAATAATACTGGCCTGTGCTTTGTGTTCAATGACTCTCCTGGCTTTACTACCTCATGCCTTTACACTTTCCTCAAAACTGCATGCTAACAGCAGAATGCAACTCTGAATATCAGCAGTGCCTCAGTTTTCTATCCTTTAGCTTTTAAACACAACAGCTCAAAAGGTATTGCCTGAAGTTGTAAAATAAACTGAATAACAACCACTGGAGATAAGTAAGTTTACCCTGAACAATTAAAATTCCAGCAGACACGAGAGACACATTTATATAGAAAGCAAGATGCTAGCATCAAGAAGGGATGTTTTTGGAGTATTCTTCCATACCTGAGTTAGTTTGGGTACATATGCTTCCATTTCTTGCCTAATACTATGAAAAGAATTAATTATATCCTGACTGGTTGCATATTGCTGTGATTGAATTGGAGTTGGACCATGATAATACCTGTGAGGTGAGAAAAGGAAAGAGGAAAGTGTATCAGTAGGAGTGTTGGTAAAACAGAGGCCAAACTCGGCGAGTTCTTCAAAGGTCTCCAATTTTGGATGCTCGGAAACTGCTGGTGCTACTATCCAGATCTTATTTACTGACAAACTAGACTAGATTGGTTGGGGCTGGTACAGCAGCAAAGTAAGAGCCGAGCTCTTACTGCTGAATTGTGAGCCTCACTTTGCTAATGAAAAGCCACCTGTGCCACCTAGTTCTGGGAGTATCATCAGAATGGAGGAATTCACATCCCTCTGGATTGAAAGTGCGCTAAGTGAAGTCAGGTGTGCGTTTGGAACTGTTCTCTTTCCTGTGGTATTGCTTATGTGCTGAACTTAGATTTATGGTTCTCAAACCAGAAGCAAAAGGACTATTACTAGAAAAGGACTAGACCAGTAAGCAGTCCAAACTATCCCAATTGCACTTTTTTTTTGCCTGGGAGTGGATTTTCTTTGGAACTATATATCTTTCCATATGTAACGCATAAATTTTTCCACCTTAAGTAGCAACAGAGTGCTGAACTGTGAATACAGGTACGTTAGAGTTTCACAGAAATTATGTGTCAAAGTAGGCTGAGGCTTAACTTGCTGAAAAGCAAGATGGAATCAAAATACAAATTGTAATGGGAATTACTTGGAAGTTGGCTTGTGCAGAAATTCCTATCAGGCTTCTAAAGTTAGCAAAACACACCTGAGGGTGGCACAGTAGAGACTAGGTCAGCTGATCCTGCGCAGGCTGCGGTGAGGCCTGCTAGACCGAATATGCCAAAATAGCTGTGCGTGTCTTAACTTACCTATCAGACTTCTTTAAGTTTAGTGCAATAGTTTTAATGCTATTATTCTTTGCTAAATCTTCATATTCAATGGACTCCTGCAGTTTCACCTGAAATAAGGTAAATAATTATACGTTATTAATGATGACACAATTAGATGCATCCAGTGTTTTTTCCCAGTTCACTGACTTTAAGACTTCAAAGAAAATGAAAGTGTGGAATGGTTCATGTCTACCCTCCAGAGGTAGCAATGCCCAATGTTGTTTAAAGTGTGCAATTTAGAAGTCTTGGCAGCACCACTTTTTCTGCAGATTTTGGCCAAAACGTGCAGTCCCTCCCACTTCCAAGAAGTGCTCTCTCTTTATGCCCGTATCAGATACCTCCAGATCAGGCGAAATAGTAATGATTTAATGGCTAGCGTGCCAGAGCATAGCACTAAAACAGTAAGCTTCCCAAGCTATTTGGTGACAGCAGAGCTAGAGCCTTAGCAGTGAGAGGTACAATGGTATCAGATTTGTGTCCTAAGAAAACTACTTTTGAAGCCTCCTACTTTCACGCTCCTCTTTCCACCACATTTATTCTAGCCCTGGTATATCGTTTACTTGTCTTAAAAACTGCAGCTTTCAGGGAAGTCAAAGCTCTTGGCTCCCTCAACGTTTGGGAACGCATGTGTTCTACAACCTTTTCTCATAATATATGCACGTTTTGGGTCCCTGTGGCACTGTCTGCTTAGGCTGTCAACTCCAGCAGAGTATTCAATTCATTTCTGCAGCAATTAGTACTCTTTCCTGCTGTGTGAGCTGCCGTGGGTAGTCTAAACCAGGCTGGCGTACGTTATTCCAGTGCTCCAGGCGTCACTACGCTTTCAGTTTAACCTCACTTCAGCTTCTGAGCTCAGGTGAAGGCTGCCATGTGCCAGTCTCATCACCCCCTCCATAGACAGTACACGTGAAGTCAATATCGGTATTTGAACACCAATATCCCTTTCAGATGGATGTTCCCTAGGTGTTCTCAGGCATTTAGAGAACAAAAAAAGGAGGGGGGTAGCAACAAATTGAACTGCACTGAATGGCAAGAACCAGATTTCTGGGTCCAGTCAGAAGCGTGTTGGAAATTTCTTACTGTTGTTGAGCTGTACTGAAGAGGTAAACAGAGCAGTGCTCCAAGGTGTTTACTGACAGAGCTACAAAGCTTCTTACAGACCCTCAGGTTCTTATTATTCTATATGAATCTAAGCAAAGCTAAATAAGTATCACTTTAGATGTGTCAAAACAAGCATGGAACCTTCAGCAATCTTTTGAGAGACACAGCTTCCGGTTCCATCCGCTTAGAATTGTGCCCTCTAACTTCGTACCTTTTTGGTTGGCGGTTGAAAGAAATCTGAATCCCTTGAGTTTCCATCCGTACTGCTGGTCTCACTGCAATGGTCATTTTGTGCTTCTCTTAAAACAGAGAAATAGCATTAAGAAGAGTTCCCCTCACAGGAAACTTAAGAGACAAGCTAGAGACAAAGTAAATACCTCTGTTTCAAAAACATTACATGCATGTTCCCATACGGTCTATCAACTTCCCGCCCTCCCCTTACATCATTTCTAGAAGCTGATCTAGAGAGAAGGAACCAGCTCCTCAAATAACCCTGTCCGCCAAGGGGGACACTCGACAGCAGGGGAGGGCGCCTCTCCCCTCTTCAGCACTAGCAGCAAACCCTCCACGCAAGTGGGACACGGCAAAATCACGCCTGAGCTAGAAACGTTTCGCGTACGGGCTTATGCCAACGGGCATTAGCAGAGCTACGGGAGCCCCAAGACACTACTGCTTCAGAATGAGAGCTACTGCTTTCTCACTGTTCAGCTGGTGCAAGACAGACTAACACGAGGGAGCACAGAAGAAAGTATTTGATTACGATCTCTCACAGGTCATGTCCATGGGATTGGGGTAGAGTCTATAAACCAGTTGTAAAGCAGACTCCACAGCAAACCCACTCTTTTGTTTCATTTGTGAAGTTTATTGTAAATAGACGTAATGAGCTGATACATTTTTTGGTCAAGGGCTGGGTACTGCACTGGAGGAACCTTTCACCTGACCCACCCATGGCCACACTGTCCTTTCCCTTCCTCATTTACCTCTGCCGCTGCCCCCGGCTTCAGAAGCCCTGGCAGACCTGCTCCTGGAAGGCAGGCAATAGGAACTCCCTGCCCCAGACCTCACCTCCACCTCTGCAGCCTTCCCCAGGGCTAGAGCTCTAAGGCAGAAACATCGTTTCCGTTTTTATCTGCTTTGTATGGTAACTCAGCTAAAAACCAGCATCTGTCATCTCGGACAGCTCCAAATAACTCTCATAAGATGAAACCTAAAGGTATTTTCATTTCTGAAGCAAAATACTTCATTCATAAAAACAAAACTAAAATATTAGGTAAGGAACTGAAGATGTATTTTCCTTTCAGAAATTCCTTAAAGTTTGTTACAAAAAACCTTTTACACAACACTGAAACTTACTGTTTCCTGAGCCCAGCTGCAAGGACCATGGCACTATGATGGTTAAAGCGTTTTATAATGGCAGCATTGCTACTTTCTCTAGTGGATTTTGAGGCATTTGATGTAGAGGCCACAGAAGCAACGCCATAGCCCTACAAAGAAAACAACATTAGCCATCTCCTGCTCCAAAACCAGGATGATCCTCTGTTTCCCAGTGTCAGGAAGCCAGTGTGCCATCTCTGAACTCTACTGAGTGATGCTGCATCATCGCCTGCAGCGGTACTTTCCTCCCCCTCCCATCACTTTCCTGTACTTTGTCTCCACCGACTATTTTATTCCGCTAACACTTGGCAGCTTAGAAGTGTCCAAGACAAGAAAAAAATTCTTAAACAGATAGTTTTATAAGACCAGGATCTGTCGTAAGTAAAAGCAGAACTGGGTGTAAAAAGAAAAAGAATTTAAGGATCACCGGTAAGAAACAGAAAAGCATTGATGGCAAGTAAGAGCTAGCAATTGCTTTACTGACCTCTTTTTAACACCTGGTGGGATACCAGCAGCCCACAGGCTAAATGACACCTGTCAGGAGGATGTGATACCACTAGGAATTCAAAAAGCCTCAAGCCTTCACGTTGGCAGCGTTCCCCAGTTACCAGGTGGCTGAAGCAACTCACTTTACCCCACACTCACTCTCCTGCCTGCAGTTCCTCAGCCTCAAAAGCAAACTAGGGCGGCGTGCGGAGCACTTCAAACCGCCTTTCCTAAACTCCTAGTCCAGTTTCAGGCTGGTAGCTCTGTACAACTCTTACCAGAAAATGAAACAAGTTAGAAATGCAGTGTCATTATTAACTACAACTCAAAGATGTACATTAAATCAGCTGCAGAAAAGTGCATCTAAGTTATCATACATTCTGGCACACCATTTATAACAAGCGTTTTAATTTGTAAACACACACACACACCCCCACACACCCCACTTACTTCATCTAATGTTTTATCTTCCAAAGCTGTTAAATCTATCAGAGGGTTTTTTACTCCTTGAGACACCATTGTTTTTAACCCTGCGTGAAACAAAGAAAAACACCTGGAAAAACTGTATCTAAACAAAACAGGAATAATTGGGGATTATTGATTATATTTACTCTTTAAAAGGAGAAGACAAAAGGTCTGCAGGTGCCCAAGGAGCACTGTGACTAAAACTTTCAACCCTTTTCAAGGTTCCATTAAAAATGAGCAATAAACTTGGAAGCTTATTGTCAAAGGTCATCCTACTAATCAGCACAGTTTTAACCAACTTCTACCCATCCCTGAATACTGTTTGGTAAAGAAGAAGTAAAAAAAAAAATTGAAGATGGCATTATATTAGTTGTATAGAATCACAGAATGGTTTGTGTTGGAAGGGACCTTAAACACCATCCAGTTCCAATGCCCCTGCCATGGGCAGGGACACCTTCCACTAGACCAGGTTGCTCAAAGCCTCATCCAGCCTGGCCTTGAAGACATCCCGGGATGGGGCATCCACAGCTTCTCTGGGCAACCTGTCCCAGTGCCTCACTACCCTCTCTGTGAAGAATTTCTTCCTGATATCTAATCTAAACCTCCCCGCTTTCAATTTGTACCCGTTACCCCTTGTCCTGTCACTACAGACCCTTGTAAAAAGGCCCCCCCAGCTTCCTTGTAGCCCCTTCAGGTACTGGAAGGGGCTATAAGGTCTCCCCGGAGCCTTCTCTTCTCCAGGCTGAACAAGCCAAATTCTCTCAGCCTTAATTGGGAACTGGGAAGCTGTAATTGTGTGTTCCTTCTAATTCTGGCACTGTTTTGCTGCCCTGTCTTGGGCAGAATGGCAGTTTATATCTGGTGACAGCTTTTAGTTGTGAAGCATTGTAGATTCTGAACAGTATGCTTTTATTGGACACAGTACGTATTAAGGAACGGTGTTAAGCGATCTCAACTCTTCACATTTCTGTATCATCACAAACCTACCTCTAAAGTTCAGCAAAAACTTAAGTCTGACAGTATTTTGAGATTTCACATTAAAAAAGTGACAGAACAGGGATGGCAACTCCTCTGGAAAATCTTAAACAGGATCCGTGTTTGTCTATTACTAAGAACTGACCTATCACAAAAGCTACAGCTGTTACGAACTGTGCACACACCACACGGCAAAGCCTTCTGTGAACAAAGTTATTGCACAGCAGCATGACAGCACAACACAGAATCTATCGCAGATCCATTGTTGAGGGAATTGGCATAAAGAGCGTTTCTAGCGCTACCGCTTCCCAAGGGCTAACGTGCTTCAAGGAATGCATTCACTGCCAAACATGCTGAGAATCGCTAAGCGATAGTACTTTCACTGGCAAGCTACAGCTCTCACTTTTCACAGTTTGGCAAATCAAATGCCCAGAAAACAGACACAAGGAAACGTTTGACTTCAGCTTTGCTAGGATTACTAGACACACCTCAGGGCTGTGCTCTGTAGCTAAGAGCGTGGCAGCCCGCTGCAGAAACAAAGCCTAAGAGCTTACCTTTTTCATCCAGTTTGGCACATTCCGCAAAGAGGTCTTTTGAGCCTGTGTTGAGCCTGTCCCGATGGAAATAATGCGACTGAAAAAATCGGGTCCAGAATTCCCTCTCGGTCATGTTATGTGGAACATTTTCTGCATATTTCATTTTTACTGCGAACAAAAACCACAATGCTCGCAAACTGTTCCGCAATTCTCAACGGGGTATGTTATGTGAAATGTAAGGGAATGCAGTAGTTAAGCAGGAGCCAGCAGGTACTCTCTGATGCCCTGCAATGCTAATGCTTTGAACAGCGGCCTGAATACTCTCATTTGAATTGCACACACACCAGTAGTCTGATTTGCCAGAGTTCCAGTTACTCTCAGAACAGATCGGGTCTTTTTAACCTGGGGCCAAAATGAACCAGTGTTCAGTACAGTGCAGGGGAACAATGGAAACCGGATTCTTTTCCTCCCAGAGGTGATTTTATGAAAAATAACAATTAATTGAAATGCTGAGTGGGAGAGTCTCATGGGATACGAATATCTACTTGCAATTTTAAAAAAAGTCAACACAACAAGTTAAAGTGTTTTCATTTAATGAAATCAAGTTTTCATTTCAAAAGAATGTTTTAACACATGCTTCTTCCCCATCCCTCGAACAAGGCAGGGAAAATATTCCAGAAAACCAAAGGTATGGTCCTTTATACTTCCAAGCTCAGACTAACATTCTAGTCCTCCCACAGTAAGACAGTAAAACCCAAATCTCAAATGCATGTATTTGTTATGTAAAGCACTATTCTTACCTGCAGGATATGTTCGAAATATGGATTCAATGATGTCTGAAGTCAAATTATACCTCAGACCATTGCAGCCATCTGTTTGAGGCCGAACATCAGCCTAAGGAAAAGCATACAGGGAAGAAAAAGTCATGTTTGAATGCCTTCTGTAACTGGAGAAGGAAAAATCCTGAGATCTTGCAATCAAATTCTGCTGCAGGTAAAACGATCTTCTTCCTCCAATAATCCATAGCATATTTGTTCATGAAGAGATATTTTTAGAAGGATAAATGAATAAGCATGCATCGCTTTATTATGCTTGCCACTATAGGGATGATTACGTAGACTGTAAGCTTTAGAAGATGAACAGCATCAGTCGAAAGAAGGTAAGCTTAGTTTAATATATCCTTGTTTTAAGTAAAAATAGGTGCGTTTACTGTCTATGCCCAATCTTCGTTCAACGATTCAGCTAGTGAATAATCAGTGATGATAATGAAGTGACAAAAAAGGATTTATGGCTTTTATACCTTATTTCCTTATACACTAAAAGCATCTCAGTATAATACATAAATAACATTGAATTTAAAAATTGAGCATAAGCCTTAGTCAGAACTCGCAAGTTAAATCTCGGCGATCACTTTAGGAAGGCCTGGGGCAAGTGCTCAGTCCAATTCTCAGTAACAGGAAAAAGTACATGATTGCATACACTGCCTTTTTTTTTCCTTCCTTTTCCTGTGCACCTAAATTCTAATTTGTGTATCACCTTCTTCCTGGAGAAAAACTCTGAGTAGAGCCAGAGAGTAATTTTAATTTGAATCAGGACACATAAATGTCTGAAGTGTTATTCTTCACAAACGCAGAGTCCACAAACACAACCTGTTATTTTAAGACAGCTTCAGTTTTGAAGGTTTCTGGGTTTTTTTTTTAATGCTAAGGTGTAAGAACAATGGGATACAGGAAATCAGAGCAATCAAGTTCATTTGGTAACTGATTCAGGTATTTCTAATGGGGAAAAACCCAATTGTTTGTACGGTAGCTAAATCATGAAACAACTCCCACTTCCTCTTCCCCTCCCCAACTCCTGATGTGTGCACAGCCAGTATGACGGTGGAAGTAGGATTCCAGCTAAAGAGCCATTCTGTGTGAATTTTGTTGCAGAACTGGAATCTGCGGATTGTCCCTAGGTTACTTTCAGACTGTGCCGAGATTACTGAAGTGCGGTCTCTAAAATGGGTAACATAACTGAAAGTTGGGGAAAGAGAGAGAGAAGGCGAGCTTTCAGATACACAGGTTGTTCTTCAAGTAGCTGAAAGCATATCCTGGTGTAAAAAAAATGGGAAGGGAATAAAACCTTTTGTGTGGAAAGGGTTTGCAGCTTCATTTATGCATGTCAGTGCTGCAACAGATTTATTGAGTTAATACTACACTCATCTAGTGATTTCACATTCATCACTATTCCCGTTTCACAGAAGGCAGAGCAGCACTACAGACAGTATCTGCCTGTTGTTAAGTCTGTGGTTCAAATTGAGCACCTTAAATTAACATAATTTTGAGGTTACAGATTTGTGTAAAACCTTTACTTTTTTCTACCTGCAGTAGTCTAACACATGCAGAGATGTTTAGCTGAGGAACCAGGAAAGAACAACACTGGACTATATGAGAATAAAGTACATGAGCAGAACTCTCCCCTTCCCCAATTTCTTTGCTCTAAAACCCTTTAAAGTTAGGTTCAACGTACCAGAAACGCTGCAGAGATGCCCACATCCTGCTTACTAGGTGCTGCAGAATTATCCCCTGCATTCAGGCTTAAACGGTTGGCCCAGAATTCTTCAGCACTGATTACTTGGCTCACAACAAGGTCTTTATAGAGCTGAAACAAAACAGGATCTTCTTGCAGCATTCTGGTAAAAGAATGTATTGAATAGAATTGAAACGCTGCAAAATAAATCACTAGGATTACCATAACTAACATGAGTTCACAAAAGGAACAGAAACCAACTTTTCTTTCAAAATGCTGAACATAAGATTGTGTAAACAACCAACCTCAATAGCTGTATTTGTCTCAAAAACCTTACGAAAGGACTCAAAAGAATGTTAAAGGAATAGCATTAAATGCTAGCAAACAGTAACGCCGAAGAAAAAGTTCATGTGGGATTAATGTATTGTCCTAAAATATTCTGTGGTGCTCTTGTGTCTTTGCACGTCCAGGACTGGAGTCTCCTGGACTGTAAAAACCCAATGAATTTTCTTGAACTTCCCTAACAAAAGTCCTGTGGGGGTAGAGGGTGTGTGTGTGAGGAGATTTCAGCACTACCCAATTCTTGTTTAAGATCTTAAAAAGCAGCCGTTTTGGGTCTCTATTCTAGAGCAAGAGTACAGATTGCAAAGCGTGTGGGGGATAAGATACCTTCAAACACACATTCCCTCAAGTAGTTTGTTCATTTACGTTTCTGTTGGTGACAGCAGCATCTTCATCAGTTAATTATCACATGCAGCCCAAGTGCTACAGAAACACTGTGTTACTACTTCCAGCAGGGAGTAACGTTTACAAAAGTTATCACCCTTACTAGAAGCCAAAACACAAAGAATGTATGCACCGGAAACCTGAGTTAGTTCGTGTTTAAGCAGCTCTTCACACAGCTGTGTACCTAATTTGAAACCCACTAGGCTATGTTCAGGAAAACATGCATGTGTGTTCACAAGCAGCCAATAACCTCAATGAGCTTCAGCATGTACGTCAGGATCTCTGTCATTTGCAAACAGAAAAGAATAGGAATCTTATGAAGACGCAATATGTAGTCTAGGGAAGAACATGGATAAACTGCAGTCTGGACTGAATGAAAGGATGAAGCTGCTCTAAGGATGAAGTGGGATGAGGTGGAAGTGAAAACTTTGTGGCAGGACATCCCTGTTATGTATTAACCACCAAGGTTTTTCCAGTTTTTCTTGTTGGCACAAATATGGGTTGATGGTCGTTCTTACCAATTAGCGCAGCAGAAAGCAATCTGTTGTTCTAATTATTTCATTAAAACTTAGAATTTGGGTACATACCTGACCCCCACATATCAATAAATGGAAGAAGTGCCAGGGGGACTCTGGATGTAGTACCCTTCCAGAACAGGCTGAAACTCTCTTACCTCATCTGTTGTAAATGAAATGTAATGAAGCCCCATCACTAGACTTGGACTTCTAATCACCAAAACAACCGACTGTGACTGAGTATGTGCACAGATTCTGGCTTTTGTGTAACTAGACAAGTTCTTAATGCAGCGTAATACCGTAAAACTTCACTGAAGGATACAGATTCAGAGCTAACTAAGGCTGCCCAGTGTCAATGCTGTTAGAAATCAGGCCCACAGCATACAGAAACTAGCATGGTACCAGTGCCACAGCAGTCTGCGCCTCTGTAGACTCTAGTGGTCACGGCAGTACTGGAACCAGTTACTGCTGGATGTGTTAGGGCTCCAGCACTAGGGCTGGGAATCTCCTTGTAAAGGCCTGACCTGCACAGTACGGCAATGCTCCTGTGTTCTGAAAAATCTAGCTTTAACTTACCGAAGTTCAAAGCCAGAACAGTCTTTGGAAACACAAGTTAGTACAGGATTCCCAGCAGATGCTAGAATGGGGTGAAACTCATCTGGGGAGAGGCAGAGAAGGGTGCTCTATGGCCACAAGGACTGGTTTAACACAAACATTTTAAAGGAACGGAAGCGTATCTTAAAACGTCCTTTTGGGAAAAGGGCTTGGGTCCTGAAAGTCTTCTCAAAACATTTTTCAGAATAAACATCCCGTAGGCCAAATAAACTACTGCTTCTCAAGTGGAGATGGATAAAAATATCTACCAATTTAGTAGAGTATATAAAACACCAGGAAAGCTTTAAGGGGAAAGAAATTATACAGGGAGGGGAAAAAACCAATAAATCGCAATCAAACAAGTCAAGAACTTCTAGAAAAGAAAAGAGCAGCTTTTCTGACTGATACATCTATACTTAAGAGACAGACTGCCAGTTGGGTGCTTTCATCTCATAGCCATGGATAACAAAGACTGGGTGGCAGCCGGGCTGGCTGCCTTTTACACCTCAAGAAAGTGTCACAGACACAAGTACAGTCTCAACATGTTACAGTTATGCAAGTCTCGAGGAACTGCCTCTGAACCGAAAATGGAGTGATTTTTACTACGCCGTATCACTAACAATGTTGCAGTAACAACTACTAGCAGAAATGCACTACAGTTAGGTAGCAATTACAAAAAAAACAAACAAAACCCCACACAAACCCAAGAATCTTTAAGGCTCTTTTACCTGTTCTTCTCCTCAAGTTCTTTATTAGCTTTCCTTTTGAACTTGGGCAGCAGTTGTTGAAGAAGATCCTTTACCGCATCTCGCTCCTTCACTGCTGTGCTTTCATTGGAGAAGTGAAAGTTGGTTGTGTCTCCTGCATGCAATACGAGCTGAAGCTGAATTTTAGCTTTACCTTCTGGACTGATTTTCTGGCCTAGATTACACAGAGAGTATTAATTAGCAACAGACAGTAAGCTTATACAAGAAACTCACTTCCCTAGAGTGTTCGCTTAAAAGCGGTTATCCTCATCATCCCATCAAATACCATTATCCTGTGTGTGAATCCCAGCCATGGAAGTGGAACAACCTTCCCCTTAAATTAGTCTGAACCCTGCCCCTTGTTCTCTCTAAAACACAAGACACGGATGCCTATTGTTCAGTATCCTTCAGCTACTGCTCAGGAGCCCTGATTCATTGCCTTCCTCACATCCTCCTTTAGAAAACTGCTGAAAAAGAGACTGTCATCACCAGACACTGTAACCCGGTACCAACCTAGCCTGCTGCTGCAAGGCGACAACCTTGTTCCCCCGTCCCACTTTTTCCTCCTGCCTTTCTTGCACACATCTTAGCGTTTGTGCAGTAAGCCAAACCAAGGAACTGATCCACTGAGAAGTAACCCCCTTTTGTTCTTCCAGCTGGACCAGTTCCCACAGCGGGAAGGTGTTAAGAAAGCAGATGCAGGGTGGGGTAACTGCATGCCTGTTGACAGCAAAGGTATGCTGGTTTCAAGTGGTGTGGTAAGCACACGTAGCCATTAGTACTCCCAAAGTCAATCACCAATGCCTCCAAGGTGCTATTACACCCTCATGACTCATAAGGAAAACCTAACTCCTGCCTCCTTTCTCGTAACCAGAGGGAGCAGCGGCTGGAACAACTACGTTTATGGACTGGTGTCCTACACCGACTTCAGCATGGCACCGCAAATGGCACTAACCAAACTTGGCATCTTACCCCTTTTGCCAGTGCAAGGGGGAGACAGGAGCCAGATGTCACCACTAAAGCATCATCCCTGGTACACCTCTGCAAATCCCACCCCTCCCACCCACGTTCTTTATTTTAGATGACAAAACAAATCTAACTTAATATGACTTCAATGCCTCTGCATGTAAATGTCTAAAATACAAGCTGCTTAAGTGTAAGCAAATAGCTAAATAAAAGCTTCACAAAGTTGATAATGATAGGTGAACGGAGTTTTTAAGAAAACAGCATTATTAGTTCTGGTTCATCACACATTTTTGATCATGTTGTGGTACTTGTATGTGACTTTAAACAGCAACAATCACTACACCTTTATCAAGTGACGCATGGAACTTTGTTTTTATTCCTTCTCTGGCATTACAGCACATGGAATAAGAGCACTGGTTGGAGCCAGAAAGGCAGCACGCTATAGACATTTACTGTTCAGTTTTGACTTGCATGTACTCTGCTATTGCAACAGCAAACATTTATTTGGAATGTAGCAGTTGGGCCAAACTACAGAAGCTAGCTCTTCTGAAACTAAGGTCTGCTGGATGAAAATAGAACAGGGAGGTTCACTTTATATGAAAACTGGAACAGCTTTAGATGCACAGCTTAACAGATGACACGCCAGATAGTTTCCGAGCTAGACACTGAAAATCCTATACTCTTCCTCAACCCTCCTCCTACCCTTCCCTCCACAACAATATGGCATAGATTAGTTTTCTCTTCAATCTAGTGCAGAAGTTTATCAAAAGTTAATAGTAAATGAAGTGTAGCTTAAACATCTGAGGACTACAGTTCTGTAGACCTTAAAACAAATGGTGATACTTCACCACGGTCCTGATCTCTGCTGCTACACTGAATAGCCTAGTGAAAGCTCCCGACCCCTGCAACCTCCCTAACTTACCTACTAGTGTTTTTGGCAAATAAGCTTTAGGTTATATCTGAATGTTTATCTAAGTGCTGCTTCCTGGAGCTGGAACGGGGAAAGCGTACACTTACATTTTATGTCTGCATACATGTGGCTGACTGTGAACCGGTCTTTGCCTTCAGGTGCCCATGCTATCCTTTCAGCCATAAGGTAGAGCGCTCCGTCCTGCTTCTTCTGACGTACCTTCTTTACAATCAGTAACACTTCTTCGGATGACGTTGCCATTGTGGCTGTAAGGAGCTATTAAAAAGACAGTTGAGCTGATTAGTATAATTATTTTTCCTGTGACTCTTTCACTACTCCTATCTGTATCAAAGTATTACAACCCGCATTCACTCCTTAAAGCCTACATCATTTCCGAGACCTTCCAGACAAACGCGGTCCCCTCCGTCAGTGCAATCAGCAAATTTATTTAACACAATACTGCCAGCTACCTGAATAATTCATCGAATTACACTGCTGATACTGCTTTTGCTCCAATAGAAGATCTGCAAATCTTACATTTGAACTGGTAACCAAATTTTCCTGTTTTAATGTTCCTTTTCTGTGTTTTTTTTTTTTTTCCCCAAGTTCAGAAGAATACTGAAGCTAAGCAATGACATAAATTCCAAATCTCCTCTGGCATTTGGCAGCAATTCCCTTCTTCAGTGTGAATGGCAGATGTTAAGTCATTTCAGAAAAAGGAAGGATACAAGGTATGCAAAAAATTGCGTATTTTGAGTCCTCTGCGCTGAAGATAAGGTAGCCCAGTTACACCCTTGGTCTTAGTGTGGTGGGTTTTGCCCAAGGCTCCAACAATGTTCTGTGCACTTGATTTCAGCTGGGCAGTCTCCTATCCCTCTACCCCAAAGCCCGAGGGCCTCATACCCACTTCAACACAACGGTAATTTCGTCACCAGTCTCGCATCCACAAGCCCTTCGATACCTGCTGCATTCTCCACAGCGGTCACTATCACTCCTCTCTATGGGTTCACCCCACAGCCTTAAATGTCTCAAGAGACTAAGAACACCACAAGCACAACTACATTTTATTAACATACTGTCGTACCCTTACCAAAAGGTTACGTCTTCGTTTGCTGTGAATGTTTTTGTCTGCTCAACTGCTGTATTTTGTACATCACAAACTCTACTACTGATACGTAAAATGGTATTTTCAAAAGCTGATAAGCATCTTTCAGATACTTTAGACTGTCTTTGATATTTGCTGGGGCCCGCATCAAACTTCAAACAGCAACCTGCACCAGCTGTCGCACTACTAAAGGGTATCTCAAAGCAATTCTACGCAATTAAATTCACTTTTTTTTTCCCCTTTAAAAAACCAGCAGCAAGATAGGCTATTTTACTGACTGTATCCAGACAGTAGCACAGCATTCTCTTCAGCAAAGTTTTACACGCCCATCGCCGAAGTAAGTAAAATACTAAATGGAAATGCTTAATGACAAAAGGGCTCTGCACTTAAGCTTCGCTCCTTCATCAATTCAGTCACCCGAAGCTCTGCCAAAGAGTTCAGTGATGATGAGCTGAACGTGGAGTTTCACATCAGCACCACTGCAGCAGTCACTAGAACATGCTGTGCTACATTCAGAGCAACCCTGCTAATACATCTCCCTCAAAGAAAACTGCATGGCATAATTTCAGGACCGTTTCCTAGCATGATCCATTACCGTCTCCCCAGCAGCATTAGTCTCCTTCGGTGCTATTCACACTACCATTTTATGCAGTTTCCTGTTGCCAGTCTGTAGTCTCTCACCAGCCCCTTATCCTTACCGGAAAAAGGCAGCTGACCACAGACTCTAATAGGCTAGAAACCTCAACATATGCAAGATGAAGGATTTTGACTTTTTTCCCCTCCCCTTCTTACTTTACAGTCCTTTAAGGTCATTATTATCCAATGCAACGAAAGAGGCAAAGCCACAGAATGCAGAGGAATTAAACCTGAACCAACTGAAAGAAAAAGGAAAGCGTTTCCATAGCCAGGCTCATTCTGATGCAAGTTGCTCTGCTTTTCTACCATGCCATTTCACCCACCTACAACCAGTCTTTCAACCACGGAAGCAAAAGATCAGCAGCTAGCAACTTCTTTACCACCGCTGTGCTCCCAGCACAGTACCCTGCAGTGTGCAATCTGTGAATGCACAGCTATCACACACGTGGCTCATTCTACCTTCTGGGAGGGGGAACACATGAGCTCACTGCTGTTCTTATTTATGTCATTGCTGTGCTTCCTTTTTCATGCAGTAATTTATGAGGACAGTAGGATGATACGACTCACAAGCACGGTAAGCATTACCCAAAATGGAGAAAACCCCAAGCTGTGTCTTGAACAGTACATCAGAAAGAATAATTTAAAAAAAAATTCATAATCAGGCTTTAGGAAAGTTACTGTCTTTCACTAATGAAAACAAGATGGCTTCTTGTTACATGAAGTACAGGAAAAATTCCAAAATAGCAATCTCGCCTAGCTGCTAGGAAAGCGTGAGGATGGTCTCGTACCGACTGCAGAGAGGAAGGCTACGTCCTTGCCAAGCACACCCCGTACACCAGTCATTTTCTTTTCTTCTTGGACACTTAAGGCTTAGCGTGCAGAAGGGTGAGAGCCATCAATGACCTATTCACACCTGCCCAAATCTCATAACCTCTGTGTTTAACAACTGATTTTTCCCGGAATGGGTACTGCAGATGATGACACTGCTGCTCCGAGGGGCAAGAGCTGCAACATGCATACGGAGCGATTCTCTTATTTTACAGCTCTAAGGGATAATTTTAATCTGCTGCTAAAAGAAGCAGTATTAGAGTTCTTCAGCTGCAAATTTTGGAATCCCTACCTTAAAAATCTTCCAGAAAAGGAAGATCAGACGCAGTTTATTTCAAATTCTCCAGCAATAGAGTGAAGTGATGGTTAATAGCTCTGAAAAGCACCATGATCAATCAGCAGTCCTAACCCATGGGGTATGACATGTCTTCAAGCCTGTCTTGATGATGTTAATTTCAGCTGCAGCTTACAACTGGGTAAGGTCTATCAGGAATCTTCAGTACTGGCATAAAAGAACAAAAAGGTCCTGTTTGCTTATCCACCTATAACCCCTCCTATCCTAGCTATTTGGGAGTGAACGCAGCTTCTGGAAATACCATCAAATTCCAACAGCTATCCTTCCTCTAATGCAGCAACTCTTCCTAGCCCCTTTGAAAACCAGGTACGTCTCTGTTCCTTACAACACCTGTTCTGACCGCTCTCCACTACCAGCATTTCACTCCAGTCTCTTCTCATGCGACTTTGGTGAATTCTGAGCAGAAATAAAGAAAACCTTTACACATTTTAATAAACCTGACTTGGCCAGAGCAGGCATGGGCTGGCAGGTGAGTTCTGACAGCTCTGACGCAGGCCTTGCTGCCAGGTTTCCGCTCCCCGCAGGGAGCAGCAGAATAGCTACACTCATGGCCCAGACTGAACCGCAGCGGCATGGGTATGCAGCAGGGCCCCGAAGGCTCGGCTGCACAGCTCACGGACCC